TGCTTAGGAAAATCTTCCTTGCTTCAAAGAATTGTCAGAATGTCGCTGTGTGTTTCTTGCTTGTACTAATGTAACTTTTTAAAGACAGAGCTCTGCAGTCCCCCTGGATTGTTTTCCGAGTGGGCGATGCGTCATCTCAGGAGCGGGGACTGCTCACCTGTCACTCCCCACGGGTCTGAGGACCTGGGGCCATCTTTGTGAGAGCTCAGTGTGTCCAGAGCTGCTGCACGTGGTCCTAAACACGGTCACTTTCTGGTGCCCTTGGATCCCTGATTGGTCACGTCACCTTTTGCTTCTACTTTAGAAAAGCTTCAGTCTATCTCTCTGTGTTTTCTGTTCCAAACAAACCTGTCAAGTTCTGTAACAAAAATTGATTAGGACTCGAGAATTAGCCTTGATCTCGGGAGTTCTTCTACCGCGAGAGTGTGTTTTTTCCAAGCCCACGTGTGGACCGCTCTGCTCTTGCTTACTGTCCTTGCGTGGAGGTCCTGCGTCCTGAGCGGCGTATGCGGGTCTCGCTTTCCTGGTCAGGCCCCCCTGGTCCGCTCTGGCGGCCTTGCCCCCGTGCCAGCAGTGAGAAGTGGACTGCACACACTTCTGTGTGCCCCAGGGCACGGGGCAGGGCCCTCAGAATGCTCTCCTCGCTGCCCGCCCCCCCCCCCCCCCCCCCCCCCCCCCCGGTGTCGTACCCCAGGCTCGTGTGAGAGCCCGTCTGAGCCCCGTAGGGTCCGGGCTTGCCGAGTGTCCCCTGAACCCTTTCGGGTCCTGAAAACCAGTCTCAGCGCCAGCTGGTGCACTGGCCGCCTTCCTCCCGAGCGCCCCTGGCAGCTCGTTAGAGGCGGGGCTCATGAGAACTTGCTGGAGCCGGCTCCACCGGCGAGGCCAGTGCTCCCTCTGTTCCAGCGCAACCCGGGGCACAGCCCTTCCTTACGGCGGAGCCTTGGGCAGGCGCTGGCTTCCCGGCCTCAGTGTCCTCGCCTGTGTAGTGTAGCGTCCGCTTCCAGGGAGGATCGGGCGGTGGGAACGGCACGGCACACGCCCACCGTCCCGTCCACACGGACGGCCACCTGGCTCCTTCCTCCCACCCTCTGCGCCCACGGCCCTTCCCCTGTGCGGTCACGTCCCTTCCTAACGGAGCAGCTGTTATCTTGCCCTCCGGCTCACGTTTGCCAGCGTGTCTCTTACTGGCTTTCCCAGGGGCCAGCATTCGGGCTTTGGCCACGGGTACCTTTCCTTTCCGGCGCTCCCTTAGTCTCTGCTGTGAGGGAGGGCTCCCCCCGCACGCCTCCGTGTGCCTCTAGGAA